CTGGTATTGAACTAACCTTGCATCCCAGGAATAAATCCCACTTGATCACAGTGTATGATCTTTTAAATGTATTGCTGAATTCAGTTTGCTAATGTTTTGTTGAGGACTTTTGCATCTATTTTCATTTATATTGGTCTATAAATTTTTTTTTGTAATATCTTTGTCTGGTTTTGGAATCAGGGTAATGGTGGCCTCATAAAATGAGTTTAGGAGGCTTTCCTCCTCTTGAATTTTTTAGAAGAGTTTGAGAAGGATGGATGTTAATTCTCCTTTGAATGTTTGGTAAAATATACCTGTGATGCAATCTAGTCCAGGACTTTTGTTTGTTGGGAGGGTTTTTTTTATTACTGATTCAATTTTGTTGGTAATAATTAGTCTATTCAGATTTTCTGCTTCTTCTTCATTCAGTCTTGGAAAATTGCATGTTTCTAGGAATTTATTCATTTCTTCTTGACTGTCCAACTTGTTGGCATATAATTGTTCATAGTATAATCCTTTGTCTGTGGCATCAGTTGTCACTTCTCTTTTGTGTCTGATTTTATTTATTTGGGTCCTCTCTCTTTTATTCTTGATGAGTCTGGTTATCAATTTTGTTTATCTTTTCAAAGAACCAGCTCTTGTTTTCATTGATTTTTGTGGGTTTTTTAGACTATATTTTATTTATTTCTGCTCTGATCTTTATTGTCCCCTTCCTTCTACTCACTTTGGGCTTTGTTTGTTATTCTTTTCTGTAGTTCCTTTAGGTATAAGGTTATAAAGTTTATTTGAGATTTTTTTTTTATTTCTTGAGGTAAGCCTGAATTGCTGTGAATTTCCCTCTTAGGACTGCTTTTGCTATGTCCCATAGGTTTGGGGTTGTTGTGTTTTCAGTTTTATTTGTCTGAAGGTATTTTTTATTTCTTCCTTGATCTCATTGTTAACCCATTCATTGTTTAGTAGCAGGTTATTTAGCCTCCATCTGTTTGTGTGTTTTTCAGTTTTTTTCCTTGTAATTGATTTCTAGTTTCATATCATTGTGGTCAGAGAAGATGCTTGATGTAATTTCATCTTCTTAAATTTATTGAGGCTTGTATGTGACCTAACATGTGGTCTATCTTGGAAAACTTTCCATGTGTACTTGAAAAAAATGTATATCCTGCTGCTTTGAGGTAAAGTGCTCTAAAAATATCAATTAAATCCATTTGGTCTAATGTGTCATTTAAGGCCACTGTTTCCTTATTGATTTTCAGTCTGGAAGATCTATCCATTGATGTCACTGGAGTGTTAAAGTTCCCTACTATGACTGCATTACTGTCAATCTCTCCCTTATGTCCATCAACATTTGTTTTATATATTTGGTGCTCCTTTATTGGGTGCATAAATGTTTACAAGGGTTACATCCTCTTGTTAAATTGATCCCTTTATTATGAAATGTTCTCCTTTGTCTTTATTATAGCCTTTGTTTTAAAGTCTATTTTGTATGATATAAGTATTGCTACTTCAGCTTTTCTTTTTTTCCATTTCTTGTTCCATCCCTTTACTTTCAGTCTGTGCCATGCCTTTCAATCTGAAACAGGTCTCTTGTAGACAGCCTATGTGTGGGTCTTGTTTTCTTATCTATTCAGCTACCCTATGTATTTTTATTGGAGCATTTAATTCATTTACATTTAAAGTTATTATTAATAGGTACATCATCATTGCCATTGTATTATTCATATTTATGGGTTTTCCCCTCCTTCATCTTAAAGAAATCCTGTTAAAATTTCTTTATACTGACTTGGTGGTGATGAACTCATTGAGCTTTTTCTTCTCTGGGAAGCTCTGTATCTCTCATTCAACTTTAAATGATAGGCTTACTGGGTAGAGTAGTCTTGGCTGTAGGTCCTGACTTTTCATCATGTTGAATATTTTGTGCCAGTCCCTTTGGGCTTGCAAAGTTTCTGTTGAAAAATCAGCTGACAATCTTATGGGAGCTCCCTTGTAGGTAACTAATTGTTTTTCTCTTACTGCTTTTAAGATTCCCTCTTTGTTTTTAACCTTTGCCATTTAACTATGATGTGTGTTGGTGTGGGCTTCTTTGGGTTTATTGTGTTTGGTAATCTCTCCACTTCTTGGACTTATATATCTATTTTCTTTGCCAGGTTAGGGAAGTTTTCAGTCATTATTTATTCAAATAGGTTTTCAGTCTCTTCCTCTCTCTCTCTTCTCCTTCTAGTACCTCTACAATGTGAATGTTGTTATGCCTGGTGTTATTCCAGAAGTCCTTTAAACTATCCTCATTTTTTTTATTTTTTTTATTTTTGCTGTTCCAGTTGGGTGTTTCTGATACCTTGTTTTCCAAATCGCTGATTCAATGCTCTGCTTCATCTAATCTGCTGTTGATTTTTTTCTAGTACATTCTTCATTTCAGTTATTGTATTGCTCATTATGGACTGGTTCATTTTATAGTTTCTATGTTTTTCTCTATTCTTACTATCTCTTTGTTGAAGTTTTCACTAAGTTCACTGAGCATCCTTATAACCAGTGTTTTGAACTCTGCATCTGGTAGAATTGCTTGTCTCCATTTAGTTTAGTTCTTTTTCAAAAGTTTTCTCCTATTCTTTTCTTTGGGGCATGTGTTTTTGTTTCCTCATTTTGTCTGCCTCTCTGTGTTTGTTTCTATGTATTACATAGATCTTCTATGTCTCCCAGTTTTGGCATAGTGGTCTTATGTAGTGGGTGAACTGTGGGGCCCAGAATCATAGTCTCCCTGATCACCTGAGCTGGGTGCTCCAGGAGTGTCCCTTGTGTAGGTTGTATGTGCCCTCCTAGTGTAGTTGAGGCTTGATTGCTGTTGGCATGTCAGTGTGTGGGATTGACCCTCAGGCTGACTGGCTGTGAGGATTGGCCGTGACCACAGCATACAAGCTACTGTGTGGGACTGACCCCATGGAGCAATATTTGCCCCAGTGGGCTCTGGTGCCTGCCGAGATCACCCTTTGGGTTTGCTGCTTGTGGGACTAGTCAGGTGGTGCTCTGAAAGTGGCCACTGAGTGTGTTGCTTCCGGGGCATCTTGGGAGGGGCTCCAGTACAGGCCAGTGTCAGCCACCGCCTGTGAACAGCCTGGGATTACCTGGTAGAACTACTAAATGATCAGTGATTGGGAGCTGCCTGTGCTGAACCTGGAGGTATGTGGGAAAGGCCATGCTATGAACTGAGGCCAGCTGCCACTGGTACCATGCCTGGGGTAGTTCAACAAAAGGCACAGAGCACCCCAAGGCCTGCCACCACCTGCTGCCTGTAAGTCTCAGCCACTGAAAGAGCTTCTGGTGGTATGCAGCTTGGGTGAGATGGGGTCTCGGGGAGTTACCAGGATGGGGTGAGTAGTGGTCACCAGATTAATGCATATTTGGCACTAGTGCTGAGCCTGGAGTCACTCAGCATAAAGCACAGGGCACACCAAGGCCAGCTTCCACCAGCCTGGGGCCTGTGGATTTTTGAGAGTAGTTTAAGAAAGACTGCAACATGGGCCAAGGCTGGTTGCCTGCCACCAAAAAAGCTCCTGGTAGTTCATGAGTTGGGTGTGTCAGGGTCTCAGGGAGTCATCAAGGTGGAGTGAGTGGAGTTCACCAGACTAATGCAGAATCAGATTTGCCCATGTAGGAGTTGGGCTCAACACAGAAACAATAGCAGCTGTTCCTCCAGTCCTGACCCTAAAACCACACAACTCAGTTTCTCCCTGTATGTCTCTGGAACATCTGGAGGTGCTATCCCTCCACTGGAGCTCAGGGTGAGTGCCTGTGAGTGTGTGAGTCTGTGTGTGGGCCCTTTAAGAGGATGCTTGGGTTTCCAACAGCCTTTCATCTCACCCAGGTAGATGGAATTCCTGCTGATCTTCATAGCCAGATGTTGTGGGGCTCCTCTTCCCAGCACTGGTGCTCTGGACTGTGGAGCCTGGTGTGGGGCTTGGACCCTAAGCTCCTCAGGGGGGACTTCTGCAGCTGAGATATCCCTCCCAGTTCTCAACTGCCACATGTGGGTGTGGGGCCAGCCCATTTAGCATCTCTACCCCTTTTACGAGTCTCCATGTGACTTCTTCTTTGTATCCTTAGTTATAGGACTTCTGTTCAGCTAGTCTTCAGATGGTTCTCCAGGTTGACTGTTCTGCAATTTAGTTGTAATTTTTATGCAGTCATGGGAGGAGGCAAACATAGTGTTTACCTACTCCACCATCTTGACTGAAACTCAATCCACATTTTCTAAATTTATTTGACCACAGAAGAACCCTTTTTCTCATGCCACTTCTATTAACGTCCCATGTAATGTGTGTTATAAAAACCCTAGTATCAACCCTTTTGGGAGGCTTAGCCACAAGGCTTTCCTGAACATTGGGTCCCCTCTTTCTCTCTGCTCCTTGCAGGCACAGTCAGGCCCATCTGCCTGCCCTTCTTTGATGAGGAGCTCACTCCAGCCACCCCACTATGGGTCATCGGTTGGGGCTTTACAGAGCAGGGTGGAGGTAAGTCCAGGGCTGAGGACCATAGGCCAGAGGGAGCAGCTCTCAGAGGTGATGGGAAAGAGGACCATCCTTCAGAAAAACCCACCCCAAAGGTCCAGGCACCAAGGTGCCAAGCAACCCAAAGAATTATCCTGGGCTGGGAGTATAAGACAAGGACGGAAATGTGAGTGTGTTTTCAATCTCCCAGGGAAAATGTCTGATACACTGCTGCAGGCATCAGTCCAGGTCATTGACAGAACTCGATGCAATGCAGAGGATGCATACCAAGGGGAAGTTACCAAGGAGATGCTGTGTGCAGGCATCCTGGAGGGTGGCGTGGACACCTGCCAGGTGAGGCCTCCAAGGATCATGAGGGAATTTTATGGATAAGAGAGAAGAGAGAGTCCAAAGCCTGAAAGCCCCACATGAAATCTTGCATATGATAGGCACTCAGTGTGTGATGAAGGGAGGAAGGGAGAGAGAGAAGGAAGGAAAGATTATAGTTAGATAAAGATATATGGATGGATGGAAACAAGGAGAAAAATGGAAACAAGGAGAAAATTTTTTAATGTATATGTATTTCACATACAAAAATGATGATGTTACCCTCCCCACCCACGCTTACTTCCCATCATCTACAGGAGTATGAATCACCTGAGGGCAAAAACCCCAGGTCAGTTTTCCCTGTAACTGTCTTCAAACTGCTGAACTACACTAGAGAAAAGCCATCTCATACTAGATGAATCCTGGATCTCTCACCCCATCCCCACTGACCAATCCCGAATACATTCTCATTTCCTCCACCCCCAGAGGATCTTCTGAGCCATTCTAATTACAACCCCTAATCCAATTCCCACTCCTATTCTCAGTCATTCAACTTTTTTCACTCAAGAGGTATCCGTTAGTCATCTTTTGAATGCCAGATAAGTGCTGGACTTTGGAGACAGTGTCTTCCCTCAGGAAGCTCACAGTGGGGTGTGGGGAAGATGCATAAACAGGAAGTTTGGCCACAGTGTTATTGGATTCTGAGGGAAGAAGCCTGAAAAGCTAGTAAGACAGACACCCAAATAAGTGCACTTTTACTATCTGACATTTTCTTGTCTGTCTTGTTATTTGCCTCTCTCTATCTCTCCCTCCCTCCCTCCCTCCCTCCCTCCCTCCATTTGATTCTAAGCTCCCTAAAGGCAGGGACCTTTGTTCTTTTCATTGATTGAATCCCAACTGTCTAGAACAGTGCCTAGCATAAAGCAGGCACTCCATAGGTGATTGAATAAATTTGGGAAATACTAGGCTAAACAAAGATAACCAGGCTTCATTACTGTAGGACCCCTTAGAGTCTTCAACCTGCTAGTGTGAGTTGTGGATCTCTGAGAGAGATGGCTATGGGCACACCCACAACCTACTTGACCTCCCACAAAACCCTTTTGCCTCGAAAAGGAAGGGCATTCTAGGCTGCAGGAGCAGTATGAGCAGAGGGAGTGAAGTATACTAGTAGAGAGTGCTGGGGGAGTGCAGGAGAACAGATGGGCCAATGCAGGGAAGGGAAGAAGAAGAAACCCCCCCCCTCCACCCATCCCACCTGCCCTCTCCAGCAGTATCTGTTCTGCCCTATTACAGGGTGACAGCGGTGGGCCCCTGATGTATCACTCTGATCTGTGGCAAGTAGTGGGCATCGTGAGCTGGGGCCATGGCTGTGGGGGCCCAAGTACCCCAGGAGTATACACCAAGGTCACAGCCTATCTCAACTGGATCTACAATGTCCGGAAGGTGAGCATGTTTGCCCTACCTGTTATGCCCTCCCTCCCTTACTCTACTCTTAGGATACCAAATCATCCTTAGATTTTATTTAAATGGCTCTGAGACAACCCTTTACAGCCCAATTAATTTTCCCTACCAGTAAGTGACAGCCTGGGATTCCACCATTAAGACCTGAAATTCCTTAGATCAGAGATTCCCATTAAATGCGAATGCCTAAGAGTATGGGCCACACCCAGCTTTATCATTCTATTCTTTAGCAGAATGAGACTTTCAGATACTTTCCAGAAGACAAATTCTAATAAGAAGGATGGTAGAAAGACTTATGAGACTTCCCTAGAGGGTAGAGAAAGGAGCAAAAAGCTTCAGAAAAGGAAGATTAATATTGTCCACGTCACTGCTTTGTCCACTTTCAAATCATCTAACTCTCTTTGCTGGTCTCTTATTCTAGTCTGAGCCATGATGCCGCTGCCGCTCTGCAGTGCTGGAAACTGCTTCCCCCTGCCCTGCCCTGCCCACCTGGGGATCCCCCAGAAGCCAGACACGGAGCAAGAACCCCGTTGGGCATACCTCTCTGCCCACAGCCTCAGCATTTCTTGGTGCAGCAAAGGGCCTCCATTCTTATAAGAGACCCCAAAGTCCACAAGCACCCAAGAAAAAGTCAGCAGCCCCAGCTCAGCCACCTCTGGTGCTCCCAACATCCCAAGGAGAGAGACACAGGCAACTCAACAGGCCAGCCTCTGGGCCAAGGTCTCAGAAAGCACTGCTAAGCCATGAAAGAATGTTTCCACTCTACTGAATGAAAGTAGGCTCTCTGGTGAGAGCCCAGATCACCAAGAGCTGGAGTGGAGGGAGGTAAGGATTTGAGCCAGCCCTCTCCTCTGTCCACCCCAGAGTCTACCCAAGCAAGAAACCAGTTGTAATGTAAAATGCACTGTCCTGCTGTTCGCACATTTAGTGTACTTACTGTTGTTTCTATTGTTACCTCTATGGCTACTTTTATTAAACAAGTATGTGACGTCTTTGACATAGTCTGACTGTGCTGCTTAATAAAAACTGAACTAGGACTATTGAACCACGGCTTTTATTCTTTGGCCTGGGTATGAACAGATCCTGGGGAGACAATTGATTCTCAGAGTAGAAGATTAGGAAAAAGGAAACACCAAGACCCAGAGCTGCTGTGTGGGAGCAATAGTGAGCTGCCGACTGGGGAAGCCAGGGTGAGAAAGTCTCCTTCCCACACAGGCCTTCTCCCACTGCCCTCCTCCCCTCCCTCCTGCCTGTGATATCAGCCTCGGGCCAGAGACATCCTATGGCTTGGGAGGGAAATGATTTGGGTAACATTAAGTCATGGCTCCCCAAGTGGCTGGAAAGAGATACTGCACCTCTGAGTTCTAACTTCTACCTAGAGATTCCTGGGTTTGTTTTTTATCATTTGTTTTAAATAAAAGTCATTTATCACCTGCCAAGTATGAGGTGGTCCCCAAGCTGGGTTCTGGAGATATAAGTTCCTGCATTCAGAGAAGTAAGCCTCATGGACTCTCTCTGGCCACTGTATGGAGACCCAGGTATTCTGAGGATCCTCTTGCTATAGTTGAGTCAGATCCTAGATAAAATATACTCATTAATGCCTTATTCGGTTCTTAGGAAATAATAGAAACCCTCAAAGGCAAATAAATAAATAAATCAGAATCACGAGCTGAAACTAAGGTGGAGACCTGGGAACAACAGCTAATTATTGGGTTGTCGGAAAAGTCATGATGCATTTTTGCAACAAAAAAAAACAGAAAAAAATACGTCATGACTTTGCCAACAACCCAATAAAACCTTCAGTTGCCCTAAGGACAAAGACTTATGTGAAGGCTGAGATCAGAACTAAACCAAACCCACTGCAGGGAGGGAAGCTGAACCTAGGATTCTCATGTGAAACAGAGACAATTGAAGGGAGTAAATGTGGACCCAGGCAGATGATCTAATGGAGGAAGAAAACATCTTAAATTTAGATTCTCAGGATTCCCAAAGACCCTCCAAATATGAGTTCACAATAAAAGATCAGCCAAATTATTGTAAAAGGAAAAATAAACCATGAATCGGAGTCATCAAAAACAGCACAGTTAGTAGCCCAAGGACTTCAGATGTTAGAATTATCAGATAATTATAATAACTACAGAGTATGTCTATGTACCAGTTACTATCCAAATGCTTCGTTGTATACTGATTCATTTAATACTCACAAACCTATGAAATAAGTACTGTTCTTATCCTTATTTTACAGATAAAAAAACTAAGCCATAATAATGTTAAATACCTGCCTGGGATTACATGCTGGTAAATTGAACTTGAGCATTCTGACTCCAGAGTTTATTCTATAAACTACCAATACAATAAAAGTTTGTGAAATCTTTAAATAAATTAAAAATGGATAGTTTTTCACTTTTTAAAATTATTTTTAAGTTGTGGTAAAATACACATAAAATTTACCATCTTAACCTTTTTTAAGTACTGTGTTTCCCTGAGAATAAGACCTAACTGGAAATAAGCTCTAGCATGATTTTCAGGGTGCTTGTAATATAAGCCCTACCCCAAAATAAGCTCCAGTTAGGATCATCAGCCAAACATGATTGTATTTGAATAAATGTAGATTTTTGTACATGAATAAATGAATAAAATGCATCTTTTGGAGGAAAAATTAATATAAGACCGGTCTTATTTTCAGGGAAACACTGTATATAGTTTAATAGTATTAAGTATATTCACATTTTTGTTCAACCACTACCACCATTCATTTCCAGAACTGTTTTCACCTTGCAAAACTGACATTCTATAACCATTAAACAATAATCCCCCATTCCTCCTTCTTGCCAGACTCTGGCAGCCACCATTCTACTTTCTGTCTCTATGAATAGGACTACTCTAGGCACCTCATATAAGTGGAATCATACAGAATTTGCCTTTTTGTGCCTCGTTTATTTCACTTGGCATAGTGTCTTCAAGTTTCATCCATGTTGTAGCATGTGTCAGAAATTCTTCCTTTATAAGGTTGAATTATATTCCATTTATACCACATTTTGTTTATCCATTCATCCATCGGTGAATATCTGGGTTGCTTCCACCTTTCGCTATTGTGAATAATGCTGCTATGAACATGAGTGTGCAGGTATCTCTTCAACTATTTCAATTATTTTGGATATATACACAGCAGTGGAACTGCTGTATCATATGGTAATTCTATTTTTAACTTTTTATTGTTTCCCATAATGGCTGCATCATTTTACATTCCCAGCAACAGTACATAAAGGCTCCAATTTTTCCACATCCTCCTCAACACTTGTTATTTTCTGTTAAAAAAAATGGATATTTTAATAGTCAAGCAAAAATTATGGGCAGTTTTGAAAAACCAAATAGAACTCATAGAAATAAAAAAAAAATGTAATTACTAAAATGAAAAGCTGAATGTTTGAGTAAACAGCATTTAATACATAGATTAAGAGAGAATTGGAAGATAGATTGAAGAAGTTACTGAGTTTGCAGCAGAAATAGATAATGAGATTAGAAATATGAAAACAAGACTATGAACAATAGAAGCTAAAATGATAAGGTATAACATAGCCACTTAGCGCTCCAGAGGGAGATAATAGAAAAAATGAAAGAGAGACAATATCTAAAGAGATAAGAGCTGAGAATTCCAGAACTGATTAAAGGCATGAATCTACAGGCACATAGTATATGCCACCATAGTGTATAGCCCTACAACCAAGGTGGAAACATTATAAATTAATGTTTCCAAAAATAAATTCCCACCTAAGCTCATTATAGTCAATTTTCAAAACATCACAAATGAAAAAAAAAATACCTCATTAAAGCAGCCAGAGAGAAAATCCATGTCACCTACAGTACCACAAAAATACTGCAATTAGACTAACAGCAGACTACTCCACAGCAGTCAAGGAACTAGAAGACAATAGAATTGTATCTTCAGTGTGCCAAGAGATAATAATGATCAATCAAGAATTGTGAACCCTACAAAACTATCTTTCAAGAATAAAGGCATTTTTCAGGAAAGCAAAAACTGAAGGTCTACTACCAACAGATCTTCTCTAAAGGAATATATAAAGGGTGTACTTTAGGAAAAAAGGGAATGATCCTAAAAGGAAGAATTGAGATGCAAGAGGGAATAGTGAAACAATTGGTAAAAAAAAAATGTAGATAAAGCCAAGCAAACTTCATCTACATAAAATAATATCTACTTTATGGATTAATTTTTAAAAGCAAAACTAAAACACAGGACAACAATAGCATATAAGTCAGGGGGATAATTAGAGTTAAAATATATTAAAGTTCTTAAACTGTTCAAGAAGGAACAATTGATTAAATATTGATTAAAATTATGTTACATAAAGTATATGTACTGTATTGTAAGTGGTCAGAAGAGTAAGCACCAAAAGAAAGGAAATAGTGTTTAACTTCCAAAACAATAAAAACAAGAAATAGATTAAGGAAAAACAAAAAATCAAGCCAACTCAAAAGAAGAAGGAGGAGGAAGAGAAGGAGAAGAGAAAGCACAGAAAAACTGAAAAAAATAAAATGTACAAAGTGGAATAGTAAAAACAAAAGTATCACTCAAAAAAATCAATAATCACAATAAATGTTAAACTCACTAATATGGAGTCAAATTGAATAGAAATGTAAAATTAAGTTAATGTTATTTGTAAGAGACACACCCAAAACCTTAGGTTACAGAACCATTAAAATTAAGAAGATTGAAAAAGATATAGAAAGCAAGCACTCAACCAAATTTAAGGTGGGGAAGCTGTATAAATTTTTTTTTAAATAGGGATTTAGAACAAAAAGATAAAACTGTCTTTAGGGTAAAAGGAATCACTAGATAATCACAAAAAATGCAATTCATCAGGAATATATAGTAAGTTAAAACTTGTAAACAAAGAGAAGAAAAAAAGAAAATTCCCTTTGTCACTGCTGGAATTGGCTATCACACTATGTTCTTACTGAGAAATGGTATTTTAATAGAAAACAATCAAGCCTTCTTCTGCTTTGCCATAGACATCTACTTCCAAATAACAAGATGGCTCAAGGTAGTGAGGGAAAGCTCTTCTTTACAGAAAAAATGTAGCTGATCAATATAAATGCATAATAGAAAATTACTGTTTGCAACTTCTATGAATAATTGATTCAGGCAAGGATCATCAATGGATGCTAAAACCACTAGGTAAAAGATTGATGGAGAAATGGATATTTGCATAATGCCCAAGTGTCACCCCCACAAATTCTTTGCTAATCTCAAGAAGAAAACCTACCTTTAAAATCAAAGGACCCGACTGTCATCACCCTACCCCTTAAATAGAATAACCAGATATTATGTGTTTCCTGGTGTAAATATGAAGTACATCTCATGTTGCATCACCTAAAGGCATCTTATCAAAAAATACTTAACTTAAACTTTTACATCTAGTTTCTAGTTTATAGGAAATACAAGGATTAGAGAAACAAGTTAACTGATACCACTCAGAAATCTAAAAGGGGGGACCATTCTACCACAAAAGTG